TGTTGGTTGATCCATTTTCTATGAGAGTACGCAGCCATCTTTGATCGTCTTCGTTATGGTGATCTTTTAGTGTTCTAAGGTGTTCTATGATCTGCTCCTCCAATGGGATTGCCGGGATTTCTATCATTGTGTCAGTTATATGCAGTTGTGTTACACGTGTTTTTATTTGGACGTTTTTCCGCTGTTTTTCCGTTACACATGTTTTCCAGGTCTTGTTGTTGTTTTGTTTGTTTGTTTGTTGTTGTTTTGTACGCGGAATATAATTGAACCTTAATTTTGTACCCGTAAACAAGCGTATTTGTTTTCTTGTTTGGATTGTGGAGAATTATGCACACGTGTTCGTGTTACTGTTGATCTTTTGGTGGGGGCAAACTGGTTTGGGTTTTTTGGATTTTACTGTAGATCCGTTCGTGCAACGAATGTTGTTTATAGTGTAAATTTGGTTTGATCCTTGCTTTTCTTCTAAATATAGTGTTTGAGAAAGTCTTGGTACCCTTTTGGTTTTGTGTCAGTGGCAAGGTTGCCTGGTTTACCGGGTGTGATATGGCTGATACAAGGCCCTACTAGTGACTAGAGGAGGTATCTAACCTGATACACGACTGGCTGGTAGCTTGGGAAGTGCGATGCTGACTTTCTCTTTAATTTTACTGTGAATTGTTTTCCTTGTTTTTCCTTCTTTCCCAGTAGGAAAAAACAAGTGTGTGTCTATCTATTTTGAAATAAAATAAAGGGTTAGTGTTCTTTTAAGTTCAGTTATACCTATATCCTGTATCCTGCTTTGGTTTTGGAAGAAATCAGTGGAGTATTTCTTCTTGGTGAAAGTTTTCTTTGATTGTTTCCTCTGGTGTTTCTTGGAGTTTTTTGTGTTTTTATCAAAAAAAGAAAATTTTTAAGAATTTTAGGATTTGCGGGAAAGAGTTTTTTTTTTTTTAATTTGATAAATATTTATTAAAAAAATATAAAAATTATATATAAATATATTCAAAACATAATAAATAATATATTAAAATTTCAAATAAAATTATTATGTACATTTTTATGTAATAATAAATTTAAGATGTGCAATACTTTTGTCCATGTAGTGTATATTACATATTGTAGTTATCAATATAAACAAGTTATACTGTATATAATAAATTATAAATTTCATTAATTACATTATATTCTTAATGATAAAAGAATTGTAATTCATGATATGAAGTTTATCAATTTTTTTCACAAATTGTATAGAATGTATTTTGATCTTATATTGTTACTATGACTGAAATATTTAAACTTATTCAACTTCAAAATTAAGTTAAATGAGCCAAAAATTCTAATTTTGAAATTTTTATAAATTATTTCAACAATTAAATAATCTAATGTATGTAAACTCCAACCGAATTTGACACCTGCACAAACCCATAGTCTGAATAATGTACCACGAAATAATTATTAAAATACTTGAAGAAATGTACCATTGCGTAATAATTACTAAAATCTTAAGTGAAGGTTAATGTTGTTATAAGATACAGATCGATAAAAGCAATTCTGTCGTATACATTTTGGTTAGAACCGAGAATAAAGATAAATTTATAAGTCTATCGATAAGGAGTAAAATAGTGATATTCATAAAAGTCCATTTTACATCCCTCAAAACATTGATATTATATATTATATAAAGATATACGAAACTCAATTAAACGATAACCCAAGTAAATCATCTATAACCGGTCCTAATACAAAAAAAAAAAAAAAAGCGTCAATAATGAGATAACGAATTAAAGAAAGTAAATTGCCATACCCTTTTTCCCTTGTTCATTGTTGGGAACACTCGTAATGCCAATTAAATCGTCGGAAATTTTAATTTGTCCTTGTCCTTGTGGTTGTTCATCCTCTTCCAAGTCAATTAACCAGGATTCCGACGCACTATTCCTAGTAAGCATAAAGTTTATTCGTTGTAACATAATCAATAATCAAAACTTTTTGAAAGCTAAAATTATTTCAAAATCATTACGTTGACGGTGGTGGCGGTGGAGGCGATAGTTCTGTTTCTTTAAATATTCCGTTTGAGATGTCTTCGTATTTCTTCAGTACCGTATTGATCAAGTCATTTAGATTCAATAAACGTTCTGTGAAATTCAAGAAGTTTACAAATCACGTTTATTACAAACGAATATGATAATGTATGTGAAAAATATACTTACCAATGCTTTCCGAATCATCCTCTTCAGAAATAAATTTCTGAATTTTGGGTTGCACGACTTTACAAGATTGCACCAAATCCTGTTAATAATATCATATTTAATAATTGAACAGTGATTTCTTCCTTTTCACAAACTAATACTTGCCTCAAATACATCACCATTTCCGATATTTTCACCAGGTTTAACATTGTTTAGCATTTCATTTAAGAGTATTGTTTTCCTTTGAACACGCTCTAATTCTTCATTAACCTGCTTTTTATAATCAGGCTTTTGTTCCGGATCCTGAGGAGCAAGAATTTAATTTAAGATCAATCGAACAAAGTCAATTAATAAGAAAATCATTTAAAGGTAGATATTTACATAGCCAGCCATAACTTTCATAAGTTCATTCGCCTCTTCTAGATCCGCAGGCGTACCTCTACGGATCAATTCTTGTAGTTTCTTTTTTAACGCGATTTTAAATTTAAGCCGCAATTTATCAAAAAAATAAATAAATAAATAAATAAACGTACATTAGAGATTGAATAATTAAACCGCAGATGAACACAAATATTTTGAACTTACGGCTGCTTGCGCAGCACGGTCCTCTTCCTCCAATTCATCGGGGGATTTCAACGTCTGAAGAGTATGAAAAGATATTGGTTGTTTAAATTTACGCGAAAAATGGACACTCGATAATGCTTATCAGACTTCGAACCTCTGTTGGATGCAGGACCGCCGCTGATTGACCATCCAGTTCAGGGAACATGTACCCTATAATTCGCGCGTGCTGGTTAGCATATAACGTTGGTCGATATCCAATACGCGATGTTTTGTACCTTTATAAAGAAGCAGTCGAAACATATCATCAATATGATGTAAATCATCCTTGTGACGCGAAGTCGCACAAATAGTAGATTTCCACTCGAGAATAAATTCCAATATTCTCAATTGTATTGGATTAGGAATCGCCTATTTAACGAATGTTATAAGTTATACCAATCATATGGCTGATTAATAAAATTCTTACTGGTGGCTTCTCGGGGAAACCCTTTACGAGTTCATTTAAAAATTCCGTGGTAGCTATCTGCAAATGAAATGGGTAACCACAGTTTTTGACACAAATATCTAAAAGCTTTTGTATTTTTTAGAAAAAAAGGAATTAGCCAAATTCTCTCATATAATCGTTTTTTTAATCATGAGATCCAAAGAATTCAGAATACCGTCAATGCCAACAAGCCAACAGTTGGGTTGCGATGATTTACAAGCTTTACGATATGAAATGCAGCATCGCGCGGGCTTGATTACGCATAAGTCATTTTAATCAAGTATAGTTAATATGTGTTTGCTATAAAAACAAAAAATTTTCTCGAGGAAACATACTAATTTTGCTTTTTTTGATTAATTAAATCTGCGATCTCCAAGTCTAGCGCCAAATCAGGTTCTCTTAGCTGAGGGTTGCACGCTCTCTCTGAGAATTATGGGTAAGATAACACGCGATTTATGGTTAGCTTCAAGCAAACCATGAAGGATAAAAAGCCGCAACTACCTATCATAGCTTGTATGGTTGGTTTGGGCAACACCGAAGAAGGTATCTAGTTTTTTATTTGAGAAACAAATCAAAAAAGAACGAAGTGATTCTACATTCTTTTTTTTTAAAAAAGGATTGAGCTTACCTGAAGCGTTCCGAAATTCATGTCTGCTGCGTCCTCGAGAAAGGAAATTAAGCTAAGGAGTGCGGGTTTTATAAAAATCACCACGATTTTACAATGGCCAATAGGAATTTAACAAATTAACCAACCAATAAATGCTACATAATAACTCTATTGCATCTCATCACAACCTCGGTCAAGACATTTCATTTGAAGTTCACCTTTAAACATTATGATATCTTTCTCTTTTCAAGGCGAGTTTCCATAACGTTGACAACATTGTCACTCACTATACTATGTCACCACTGTAGTCAATTTGTAATTTTGCGTATCGAAATGTCAATAGTAGGCAAAACAAGCTAAAGGCACAAAAAAAAGTAACAAGATTTGAAAGCCACTCAATCAATTTGTTTTCAAAACAATGTTTTGAGTTGTTGATTGGGCTTGGTGAGTTTACTATTGTTCACCAAAGTCAATGTCATCAAATTTTTGCTATGTTCGAGTCTATTAAATACAGTATTTCATCAATTTAATGTCTATAAAAGTGTTGAATTCACATTTAATTATGGCAAGAACAAAGCGAGAAAATACGTGAAAATCATAGTCTAAATAAACAGTTAAACGATTGCTTAAACTGGAATGCTGAATAGTTTTGCTGTTAAACATTAAGAATAGAAGCATCACATACAACTAAAGAAACTTAGGACGTACGGTCTATCTTTATAAAGTCCTTCTCCTAGTCCCTGGTAACAATTTTCTAAAATATTTCAGGGGGTTCAAGTAACTACCAATTCAATTAATGTTAGTAAGTAGTTATAGAGACGATAAAAGCAATAAAGATTATTTTTTGAAGTCACTTTATTACCTGAAAAGATTACTAGTTTCATATTCAGAATTCTCATCCTCATCCTCACCCTCACCCTCACCCTCATCCTCATCCTCATTCTCCTCTCCATTTCCATTATCATCAATATTGTTACCTTCATCTTCATCTGATCTTTTTCTTTTGCCTAACTTACTTACAACGCTTGTCGAAGTCGATTGTTCGACGTTTGGATAGATTGATAATTTTTCACTATCCGAAAGTTCGACAGCCAAATTCGATGATGACGATTTTGAACGTTCGGAGGTCGTCATTATCTGAGGTGGCAATTTTTCCGTGGACATTTCTGATGGTAATATTTCCATATGAGGTTCAGGTTCTGTAAACATTACTGATTGTGATGTTTCCATAGGAGGTTCAAATTCACTAGAAATTTCTGGTAATGTTATTTTTATAGGAAGTTCAGGTTCAATAGACATTTCTGATGGTAAATTTTCATTGGGAGGTTCGGGTTCAGCAGACATTTCTGTTGCTGATGTTTCCATGGAAGGACCGGCAGACATCTTCAATTGTGACATTTCCTTAGAAGGTTCAACAGACATCTTCAATTGTGACGTTTCCCTAGAAGATTCAACAGACATCTTCATTTGTGACGTTTCCCTAGAAATCTTCAATTGCGACGTTTCCCTAGAAGGTCCAACAAAAGTCTTTGATGACGATGACGGTGAGGAAGAAGATGATAGATCAATATGCATGTGTGATGAGACTCTAACGTCTTCGATTGATAAAGGGTTCTGGGAATAGTAATCCTCGGAATCATCATCGGCTTGATTATCCTGAAGTACTTGAATGTGTCGTGAAGGTGAAATGACACCTATTTCTTCTCTAGGTAACTATGACAGTAAGACAATCGCCAGCGGTAAATTAAGCAAATATAATACTTCAAGTATGTATGAGCACGCGTTTTCAACCTTTCCAGATGATCCTCTATTCTCAGCCGATTTACTTGAACTCGACACGACATTTTCCGAAATCGATGTATTTCCCACTGTTCTTACCCGACTCGAGATTACTTCCATTCTATCGCCACCGTCTTCTGATGTAAAGTTGTAATCATTATTATCAGAATGAAAGAACTTCTCGCATAATAATTTGTAGATTTCGTCGGACACCTTTGCTTTTTCCAGCATCAGACGCATTCGTTCTAAATTCAAGGTGATTATGAGATTGTACATCGTGGACCATCATAATTAACTTCATGAAGAAAAAAGATGTCCTACCCTGTAATTCCCTGATCAGTGTGAATTTCCAATAGAAAGATGTATTTATACCGGTGTGCTCTAAGGCGTCTTCCATTTTTCATGAAAACATACTTATATCCAATTTTCCAATCCCTTTTTTCTTTTGTGTAAGAGTAATGAGATATCTATTTCAACGCAATAAAAATGAAAGAAATGTGAAAGGTATATACTGCAAAGTAAGTAAAATCCTTGACTGTCCACTATCTGATCATCTTCTCTTAACCTGACGAATGCTATTATAATATTCTAAAATGAAAATTAACGAGTCAAGATGACGAATGAATTGTTTGAGGGAAGACTTATCACTGATCTCTTGACGAATAACCTTTATTTCATCTTTTATCCGTGGGTTATCATTATAAATAGATGTGGTAGAACTATCATTTCGATGGAAAAGATTTTATATGTCAATGATTCGCAAATAATCATCTCTGAAAGAAAATTCGTGTTTGTGTCAACCTATTATTTGAGAATAGGGATATCTGAACAACCTCGTCGGATACAACCAAAAGACGTGTTTTATCGAGCGAGAAAGGCATTAATTCCATTATCACAAAAATTAAATGACACTTTGTAAAAAAAAATAGTTGATAAAGGGAAAAAGTGTCGCGAAAGAAACTTTGTTTTTCTTGTGTATACTTATAAGATTCGTTTATTGATCCGCGTAGTCGTGGAATTTGATTGGCTGATATACTAATTAGTCAAGAACTCCTTATTTAATTCGTCTATTACTGACTTTGCTTAATTTAGCAGATATCAATGGATTTAGAGGAAGGTGAAAATGATGGTTTCCTTTTTTTAAAAAAAAAAAAAACATGTTTGTCCTCGCAGTAAAAATTTGCTTTTCCTTAAAACGCGTATCTTAAGCACCAAAAAACAATTTTATACGAGTATTCAATTGTTCATGCTTCACCCAAGGCACGAGAAGTTAAGAAGAACACTTTATTTTGATCACGTAAATATAATATGTGTTTCAAAAAAGTAATGTGCAAACCCTAGTTAGTATTCATAATCACGTGAGAACACAACAGGTCGTAGAGTCGATCGCCCCCGGACTCGATCTGCGCCATCAACCCGCAAAAAAAAAAACAATTGTTGGCCTTTAATCTATTTCGTAATTCACGTGATCATGAGAATTATTGAAATTAGGTTCGTGCCCTACTAAGTAATGATTCGTCTTTTTTTGTTTTAGATTAAGTAATATTTAATTTGCCCTTTGTTTCCTGTTCTTTACAAAAATCTTTTATCACGTGATTAATGATGAATAACGCGAATATTGCAAAGAAATCTTTGTGAATTTCATCACATGATTTATCAATATAACGCGAACGTCTGCCTGCGGAGATCGTATTTCTTTAATATTAATCTATTCTCGAATAAATATACAATGAGAGATTATAATGCATTGTTGGACATTTTTTGTATTTTCTCGATAACCTTGGCATAATAAAAAGGTTAAAATTGCTGTCAACTTTCGACAACAAGCTTTCAAACAGAATCACGAAACGTTGAGCTAGAATCCACTTCGATGTAAAGAGTTTACGATAGACTTTTGCATACTTTTGCACACAAATGGTTTCTTTAGCATGCACATATCGTAATTCAATTACGTCATTCAAGCTATTAAGTCATCCACGCGTCTAAAGTGTGAACACTTTTTAGTTAGCGAATTTTTAATAAATTGAACGTTTGACTCTTCGTCCCTTCGAATAAAATCTTTCTCTTCTTTCTTTTTTTTTTTTTTTCTGAGACAAACTTTTTCAGGTTTATCTTGTCTTCTTTACTCTTTCAAACCGTACCTGCCTTACGCCCGTCGGCTTGACAAGAAAAAAAGACGTAAGTTCTTGAGGTGTGATAAATATCTTAAAACTACGTGTTTTTTATTAGATAAAGTTTCTAAAGAAGCAATCATCTTATCAAGATATCTGCTCTATGCCTCAAGAGTCAAACACTTC